AACACCATAATTACATCATCCAGAAGTGGTAATTAGAATTGTTCTTCAAGCTTAGATGTATTAAACATATATCAAAAAAAAATTGCTTTGCATAATTGGAGTGTAATAACCTTTCCACCTTTTGTAATAATATATATATTCTGTATGTATTATACAAATAATTTGCGTTCCAATAGACAGTAACCCCTTCCCTTGCAAGGCTGCGTTCTTGATGGTGGCTACTGGCTAGACCAGAAATAATAATAATAATAATTGCAAATGGGTTTCTTAAACCGCAAACCAATGTAGGTATAGAGTTGTAGCTTAGAGCACACCAAGAAGAAAAAAAAAAAAAAAAAAGAACCTCCAAAAAGGAGGTTTGAAATTTCAATTTTTGCAGCTTGATGGGTCAGCAACAGAATCACCAAGCATAATTCAGAACGTTGGAAGATGTTTTTTCTTTTGATTGAAAAGGAAAGGCGAGGAAAGTTCACAAAGTTTATTCTGCTAACGTAGAACTGAAGATAAATTTTGTAAGGTATTATATTTTTATCATATAGTTTTGATTTTAAAGTTGGATTCCACCATCATATCCCCAGAAAAAAATAAAAAAAATTATTAATGTAAAGTTAAAATTTATAACACATGCACATATATGTTAATATATAATTTTTTTTTCAATCCATGAAATATTGTGCTCCTTAATAATACCAAATACGATATTTTTATAAAAATATTGTTAATTAAAAATATATTTAAATAATATTTTATTTTTGATAGCCGTTGAAATTATAAAAAAAATAAAAATTTAATTTAATATTTTTTAATAAAAAAACTTGAAAACAAACACACTTTTATTTTATCCGAATCATTTTAAAGGAAGAGAGAAGGAGAGTTGGTGGTCGACTTTATTGATTTTTTTTCCCCTCTCAAACTTTACTGCTAACCACCAGCTCTAGCTCAATATCTCAATCGATGCCATCATGATTTGGGAGCTAGGGTTTTTTAATATACCAATAATCTTAATTTTTTATTCACTGATCGAAAATTTCATCAATCATATGATAACATAGTTAAAAAAATTATTTATTTATATGAAAATATAAGTTTATTTGTCATAATAAGACAAAATCAATGTAACTAAAATTTTACCGCCTTCCATCCCCGCTATAGTAAATAAATAAAGGGTGCGTTCATGTTTCAAAAGTAAAAAGAATACAAATAATAAAAAAGCTATGCCAGCCGAATTCTTCCTTGGTTTTTTTTTTTAAAAAAAAAACTCCTCAAATATAGTGATGTATTTTAAAAAGTCTAAACCTTTTTTATATATAATCGATGATCCTTATGATAAAAAAAAATCACAAATTATTTATTAAAAATAATATATATGTTATTTATATATATTTGTGTGAGTGAATGCAGATAAATGTTTTATTTTCTGAGTTCATGAGTGTGAAAAGTGGGCACCAATCAATTGATGGATCCATACATCCAAAAATCAAAAGCATAAGTGAACTTGAGATTCCAAATTTACCTAATAAATTGGAGTAGGGCCTTATGTATTATTAAACTTTAGGGTTAGACAACACATCTTGCTTTAGGTTAGAATGTCATGTCTTACGGTCTCAACAACAAAAAAAAAAAATGCCTTTTTGACTTTACATTCCTTGCTGTATTGTATCAATCATGGCATGTCATGAGGTTTCATGAATTCTTTGTTTTCATTGTTAGGGTAAATCATAATTAAAACAATTAAAAAGGTGTGGTTAACAACTAAAAGCCATGGTATTTCATGATGTCTTGTTTGAGATTTCCGTGGATTCTGCATTTTAAAGTTCTTTAAAGCAATGTTTATCATTAAAAATTATTAAATTGATATTTTCTTGATGATTTGAACAAGTTGATTCAAAAATAAAAATAAATTAATATATTATTTTAATATATTTAAAAATAAAAAATAGTTTTTGAAAGGCACTTACACTTGAAATTCTAGAATAATTAAAGGCATAAGCCTCAAATTGATGCCATTAAGCTTATCAACACCATGAGGAAAATCACACACCTTAAGTGAACTTTGTTGAGAAAATAAAACGAGGAGATTCTATTGCTATTAGTGTTTTTGTTTGCTTTATTTTCTGGGAATGTCAACTGCTATATGATAACATAGATCCCATGAGTTCTCTATAGACATTCAAGGGGTGCTTCATAATATAATGGAGATGATGTTTTAAAATATTTTTTATTTAAAAATATATTAAATTAATATATTTTTTATTATTTTAAAATTATTATTGCTATTAGTATACCAAAACAATTTAAAAACATAAAAAAAATAATTTTAAATAAAAATAAAAAACTTTTTAAAATTTCAAAAAATACAAATTCATCTAAACACTGTCTTGGTTAAGTGCAAGAAGTGGAATTCAATTTATTTTCATATCAAAGATTGATTTTTGTCATAATTATTAGACCCAACTTGAACTTAAAGTCTGACGTGACTAAAAATTTAAACCCCTGAGTTAATTTATATAAATCATAAAACAAAATTGTTTTAGATAAAAAAAATTAAAATAAAAACTGAAATAAGCTGTCTTGGATATTTTTTTAAAAAATCATTTTAACTAAATTAATAAAAACATTTAAATTAATTTGTTGAGTTACTCAAATTTAACCAGTGAATATACAAAATAGTTTTAAAACAAAGTCGACCTAAGCAAAGCAGAATCACCTAATCAAACTACTAAGCAAATTTTAATAATTATAATTCCTACAATTATTGTTATATACAGTTTGGAGATATTTATTTACTGAGAAGATGGTAAGTTTCGATTGTAGTTAGGTGAGTCAGTTGACCATTTAATGCTGGATTCATCTCTTGACATGGAAGAAAATAAAATTGAAGCATGATTTTGCCATCATCTTCAGGTGATTAATGGCAAGTAAATTAGCTCAATTGCACCGTTCATGGCCATAATTAATGCAGAATAATCATACAAAATATTGCTTTAGAGACATGAGTTCATCCGGTGTTGTTCTTCGATTCCGACACATGCTTGAAGACAGACAACACCACGAAACTTGACCTCGTCAAGCACTTGGAGAGGGAAAAAATTAAAAATTAAAAATTAAAAATTCTATTCCTTTTTTTTTGTTTAGATCAACGTGGGTGTTCGGGCCAGCTTGCGTACCACGATTAATTCCATGAGCTCTGAAGTTAGCGACCATATAAGTCTCCAGTGGCCATCATATGAGCAACCAAGAACTCAAACCTGAGACCACAAAGAACAAACCTTTTAATTCTAAATTTTTATCACTTTACCACCACCTAAATAGTTAAATTTTATCCCTTTTCTTTCCCCGTGTGTCACTGTCTCTTCTGTGGCAATAATATTCGTCATGTCGCACAAAATTCTTCCCTTACCGTCAATAAAATGTCAGCTCTTTTACTTGCTCTTTCCCTCTTGATATGAACAAAAACCCTACAAATTAGTGTTCCTCGGTTTTGAGATATGGCCACTGTTCTCGTATTCGGGTTAACTTGGAAAAAACTGGAATCAACAAGTTATTAAATTAATTTTAATTAATAATTTTCATAAAAACAAAAAATCTAAATAAGCTGGTTGGATTTAAAAAAAAAACTTGAGTAATTAGATTGTTAAATTAGTATTTTTTATTAAAATAATATTATTTTAACATTTCAGTGTTAATATGGCCGGGCTTAGAATATATTTACCTAGATCAATTGAATTACTGAAATTCTGATTATTTTAAATAAGTCTAGCAAAATTATTATTTTATTTGATTCGATAAAAAAATTAACCTGAGTGAAACAGGTTTTTTAAGTTTGATGAAGTGTATGTTTAATAATGTAATAATGGTTATTTTTTAAATAATTATTTATGCTAAAATACATGGTTATGATATTTTTTTATTTTTTAAAAATTATTTTTAATATTAATATATTAAAATAATTTAAAATATATAAATCATATTAAATTTTAATAATTCTTTTTAATTTTTTAAAAATATAACTTAAACTGCATTCCCAAACCATTCCACGAATAAACAATTTGGATGCAATAAAATAATAAAACTAAGGAATCCAGACGGTAAAAGGTTATCCTATAATTCCTGTAATTTTAGTATTATTATATTTATATGACAACATCACAACGTTTCCGTAATTTTAGAAGATGGTACTGTTTATTGTTGTTTTTTAATATATTTTTTATTTTTTTAAAATTATTTTTAATATTAATTTATTAAAATAATTTAAAAACACTAAAAAATTATTAATTTTAAATAAAAATTTAATTTTTTTTAAATAATTTTAAAATATAAAGACAAAAAAAATCTAAACATGATATCATGCTGAGAGAGATTTCATCTCACTAGAATTTAAATTTCTCAGAAACTTCTCAGTGCAATCACAGAATTTAAATTTGTCAGAAACTTCACATCGTCGTACAGTTCAATTCAGGCAGAAACATGCTTTTGGATTTTGTATTGAACGTCAAGTTGTTCTATCCAAGGGAGGGATGCAAGAAATTAATGTTTTGGATGGGAATGACTGTCCAAGACACCTTCAAAAAGAGATTCTGTTTTTTTTTTTTTTTTTTTAATGCAATTTAAGTTTAAAAAACCACTAAATTAATTTTTCTTATATTTAACATTATTAATTCATTAACTAGGTTTCACATCGAGTTAGATTTAAGATGAAACCTGAATCCAGTTTAATAAAACATGCTTTGTAATCAATGAAGATTAAATTATTTTATTAATAAATAAATAAATAAAAAATAATAATGGATATGATCATGAGTAATTTAAAGTTATTTTTTACGATTCACTTCAAAAAAATAAAAAAAAGTAATTAGAATAAAGAAATTTAGATGAAAATATTTTTATTATCTTTTATAGATAGTACATTTTATAAGTTATTTTTTTATATCTATATTTTTTAAATAAATTACAAAAACTAACTAAATTCTTTTAATTCCCTTGCAATTTACAGAGGTAAGCTATTGTTTTTGCTTGTCTCAGGATAAAGTCCTCCCTCCTCGCACGGCAAACAATCACAGAACAAACCACTAAAGGTCTGATGTAGAAAATGTTTTTTTTCTACAAAACCTTGCATTTCCTCTCTACCCTCGTCCCTTCACAGGGCACTATACCAAACACCATTTCTATCCTCTCTTGAATTCTCTCCCTCCATCGAACTTCAACCTCAGCTAGACAGTTCCACAAACACCTCCCACTCACACTAAAACCATCCTCCAACCACCAACCTTACCATTTGCTAACCTCATGAATCATGGAAAGATCACACATAGCATCAAAGTGAAGTAAACTGCGGGGTACAGCGGTTTTAGCTAATGGCTTCAACAAGTTCAACACCAAGTGACCCTTCTATTTCTCTGCATGAAGACACAGCAATCAGAGCTGTGAACAAGAGATATGAAGGGTTGATTACTGTTAAAACAAAGGCAATAAAGGGTAAAGGGGCATGGTATTGGGCTCATTTAGAGCCAATATTGATTAAAAACCCTGATACAAATCTCCCTAAAGCAGTAAAACTTAAGTGTTGTTTATGTGAAGCTGTTTTTTCTGCTTCAAACCCATCAAGAACTGCCACTGAACATCTCAAGAAAGGAACTTGTTCTAATTTTGTATCAGTTTCAAGGCCCAATTCAGCAATTTCTCCGTTGCCTATATCTTCTTTGCCTTCCCCACCTTCAAATAATCATAGAAAGAGAAGCTCGCAAATGGGTACTGCTTTAAAGTCTCTAGCTTTAGTCGAGTCAAATAAATACTGCGACCAAGTTGGTTACTTTAATTCTGGGTTTACTCCAAAAGGTCACGATTTGGTGTTATCTGGTGGAAAAGAGGATTTAGGTGCATTAGCAATGTTGGAAGATAGTGTAAAGAGGCTTAAAAGTCCAAAAGCCTCACCTGGTCCTTTGTTAAACAAGGAACAGGTTGATTCTGCTCTTGAGTTATTGAGTGATTGGTTTTATGAGGTTTGCGGGTCAGTATCATATTCAAGTCTTGATCATCCGAAGTTTAGGGCTTTTCTTAATCAAGTTGGTTTGCCTTGCTTGTCAAGGAGAGGCTTGTCTGGTGCTAGACTTGACAATAGGTTTCACGAGGCAAAATCTGAGGTGGAAGCTAGAATTAGAGATGCCATGTTCTTTCAAGTTGCGTGTAATGGATGGAAGAGTAATAATTGTTGTAGTGGGGAAGATAATTTGGTTAAGTTTAGTGTAAATCTTCCAAATGGAACTATTTTGTATCACAAGGCCGTGTTAACTGGAGGAGGATCAGTGTCGTCTAAGTATGCAGAGGAGATTATGTGGGAGGCAGTGACGGGGATATGTGGTAGTGGTTTGCAGAGATGTGTGGGGATAGTTTCTGATGAGTACAAGGCTGAGGCATTGAGGAACTTGGAGATCCAGTATCAGTGGATGGTGAATCTCTCTTGCCAGGTTCAGGGGTTTACTAGTTTGATCAAGGATTTTAGCAAGGAGCATCAACTTTTCAAGACTGTTACTGAGAATTGCTTGAAGCTTGCTAATTTTGTAAATAATACATCTCAAGTTAGGAATAGCTTCCAGAAGTACAGGATGCAAGAGCTTGATTACACTGGGTTGCTTCGAGTTCCTTGGTGCAAATGTGATTGTGTAAAGGACTTTGCGCCTGTTTCTGCAATGTTGGAGGATGTATTGAGCTGTGCCCGTGTGCTCCAAATGGTTATCTTAGACGAGTCATATAAGTTGATGAGTGTTGAGGATCCTGTCGCTAGAGAGGTCTCTGGGATGATTCAAAGTGAGGCCTTTTGGAATGAGTTGGAGGCTGTTTATTCACTAATGAAGCTCATCAGAGGGATGGCTCAAGAGATTGAGGCTGAGCGGCCATTGATAGGGCATTGCCTTCCTCTCTGGCAAGAACTGAAAGCAAAGGTGAAGGAATGGTGTGCAAGATTCAATATCGCTGAAGGCCAAGTTGAGAAAATAGTTGAAAAGAGATTCAGAAAGAACTATCACCCAGCGTGGTCTGCTGCGTTTATACTCGACCCTCGTTATTTGATGCGGGACACAAGTGGAAAATACCTTCCACCTTTCAAGTGCTTGACTCATGAGCAGGAAAAGGATGTTGATAAGCTTATAACCCGTTTGGCATCCAGGGAAGAAGCTCATGTTGCCTTAATGGAGCTTATGAAATGGAGATCAGATGGATTAGACCCGCTGTATGCGCAGGCTGTTCAGGTTAAACAGCGAGACCCTTTGACTGGAAAGATGAAAATTGCAAATCCTCAAGGCAGCAGGCTAGTGTGGGAAACTTGCCTGAGTGATTATAAAACACTAGGGAAGGTTGCAGTTAGGCTTATCTTTCTCCATGCGACCTCAAGCGGGTTTAAGTGCAATTGGTCTTGCATGAAATGGTTTTGTATCCATAGAAACTCAAGGGTGGGCCTTGAAAGGGCTCAGAAGATGATATTCATCGCAGCTCATGCAAAGCTTGAAAGACGTGATTTCTCAAATGAAGAAGAAAAGGATGGAGAGCTATTCCGCATGGCAGGATGTGAAGATGACATGCTCAACGAAGTCTTTGTCGAGGCACCATCAGTGTAATGTTTTTCTTTTTTTAACCCCTGTAGACTTCTGAAAGTATAGGATTTATTGAATTCTTTTCCTCTTGTATTTGTTTTCATTGTCACTTCTAGTTGAAGATTTGAGTGCTACGATTAGGGTAGAATATATTGGGAAGGATAAAACAATGTATCACTAAAATTGTTTCGGTGCATGATCTCAATGAATCCTTTATCTTCCCTGGGCATGATTTTGGCTTTCTGGTTATAGACATAAAAATGGCACAGGAATACAAACTAATTATGTTGTTTGTTTTATTTAACTTCGAAGTCAATGCCCCTAATTTCAGAAGTTAGCTTCGTTAGACATCCTAATAGTTTTATGAATTGAGCTGAACAAACTGATAACTGGTTTGTTATGAGCCTCTTGCACGAATTATCATCTTTTTTTTTTTTTTTTTTTTTTTTTTTTTTTTTTTTTTTTTTTTTTTTTTTTTTTGTTCTTTTCTCCGCGTTTGAATGATCTGTCTTTGCTGTGGTGACTTGAAATATAAAGCAATCCTCTTCCAGATATGTTACCTCGTTTTGTTGTGAGTGTCCTGCCAGACAAGAGAAAGCAATTTTTTTAGAAACAATAGTGGATAAGTTCCTCAGAAAAAATGCTGCTTGTGGGTTTTGACTTTCTGGAAACCTTTTGGCCTATGTAGGTGTTTTAGAATTTGAACTGAGCAAGTACCTTCTTCATTTTACCAGCAACCAAAGAAAGTTGGCATTGGTACTGGTGTCGTCAAGGCAAAGTAACTTTGAAACAAGTTTTTCTTGTCCAATATGGTGAACTAGCACAAATACTTTCTCAGGAGTGCTTTTCTCAATAGATGAGTAAATGTTGCAAAAATGGGGTCGACTGGATTTATTCATCATTAGACAATGTTGTATGAATCATTTGCAATGAATTCATATACAGTAACAACCAGCTTTATTTATTACATCAGTGATTTTAAGTAGTGAAGAATTGATTACTTGAATGGCCAAAATGGCAAACTGTTAATTTAGAAGAAACAATAATTTTGTTACAGAACAATAATAATTAAAAAGGAAAGGTGTAAACACAATGATGAAAGTAATGATATAAAGCAATGATGTAGAATATGTGAGCCCACTAAAAACTACCGTTTAAATCAAGGTGCCTTCTGAAATGTTGTTACCTGTAAAAGGGAAAAAAGAAAATCCAACTGCAGTTCTTCCAATGCTGTTTCCTGTCTTTCTCCATATGGTTTATGTATCATCAGATAACCATGCATGAAGTTCAATGCAATATTGATCTTCAGGAATTTGTCAAAAAACCAGGCTGACACTTCCCCAATTACGATTTGTGGGCCTATTTTTTAACAATTCTCCTCCCAGAACCATGGATTAATATCCAGTGTTCAAATTTACGTTGCTATGTAGTAGAAGTCTGATGATTTGACCTTTTGGCTCCCGAGTCTTGTTTATTGGTGGGCATACAGACATGTTGTTTGTGTGGAAGCATTACGAAGGCGACACTGCTGAAGATAATGAGTACGTGTGTGGCATTGCCATCTCCATCCATTCAGTTCCCTAAGAAGGCTTTGCTGCTGAAAAGTTTGAGACTTTAGTTTAATGTGCTGTATTATTGACATTTCAAATATTTTTCTTGTTTCCATAGAAGGATAAGTCGTCCCAAACTATGCCATAACCACAATTCCGGAGCATTTGTTTGTTTGGTTAACGTTGACTGAGTTGAGGCAGGATTTTTTAATATCTCAATTTGGAATGTAGTGAAATATCTCACTGCGATTTGCACATTGCATGTTCCATGGTGGAAACAAGTGAAAAATGTATATATGGACTAGAGAGATAATATACTCGGTGGAATGTAAAATTTCTCAGTGACTTTAAAAAAGCAAAGTAAAAAAGTTAAAAAAAAAAAGAACGGTTAAAAGTTTGGAAAGTTTTTTTTTTTTTGCTGCAGGGTAGGCTTGGCTTGAGCTGATGGGAGTGTGAACCTGCTCGGTGATCACGAGTCAACCTTGGAAGAATTCGAGAGTTAATCTTTGTTTTCAAAGAAGCTCTCCTCTCAGATATAAGTTGTCCGCATCACCTGTGTTGTCTGTTTATGAAAATGCAGAGCCCACCATGAAGAGTGGATGTCCATCTCAATGCTTGTGTAGTCATGGTCGAGGAAAAGTAAGGACCAAGGGGCCTTCTTTCCCATCACCTATCTCTCTCCAGTTTTATTTATTTGTTTATCATTTTTTCCAAGTTTATACGTGTTTGGTAACCTGTATTTTAAACATTCCAATTTTGCGATGCTCTCTCTCTTCAGCAGGGTCCTTTTATGAAACTTTTGATGTCCCAGTTGATATTCGAAGCCTTGCAGACCTAGGCTTTGGTATGACTGCTAAAAAGACTTTGAGGAAAGCTGAAGCAAGGAGGGCTGCCGGCATGGAGAGGCACATATAATGGTTGAAAGGGATGCTGCAGTGAACATGACCTGATCTTATAGGCAATACATTTCGGTGATTATTGGTGACTACAACGTAGCAAGTGGGTGGCATATGTAGAATCGAATTCTTTTGTTTTTTGCTAAAAAAATGCCAGCTCGTTGAAACTAAAATTAGATATCATCCATGCAGTACTACACAAGCCCACACATGAACCCTCTCTGGCCTGCTCCATCTAGGTCCCATGTTCTGCCATAAGATCCAATTATTAGGAATCTATATTCATGTTGCCGGAGTGATTTACTCTGGCATTTGTTCTCACTTAAAACATGACATGCAGAAGACTATATATCCTATACACAAAGGCAGGTTCAACCTTTGCTTGTGGTTTTAGTTGAAATTTCTGAAAATGGAATGATTAAATCCATTAGAAATTAATCTGGAAACAGTACACAGGAAAATAAAACTGAGAGACGAAAATACAAATTATCTTGTAGGGTAAAGAAGTGCTCCATTTTAGTAGCCGGGTAGCTGTTCTGTTACACCTAGAGATTACAATAGACTTCAAATTATTCCATCATTTTCTTTTATCATCTGCAATGCCATAAAGTAGTTTTAACTTTGGACCCCCTCTCTGTCATATGCATAGACTTAGATTTATCCTCCATTGAAAAGAGGGAAATACTTATGATTTTCTAATTTAACCTCCGGTTTTGTCATTGCTAGTCAATTTGGTGGAGACACAGTGTCCTGTCGGTAAGTCTGACTGCTCAACAACTAGGAAGGAGAGCATTTTTCACTCTTAAGGTATGGATTTATTTTTCATTCCATCCATTTTCTTGCTAAAGAAAAGGAGGTATAATGAGTGGTAGAGGACAGGACTTTCTTTCTACAAGAATCTTCACTCTCCAATGCTCCTCCATGATTAACTTTCTTTTGTCATACATCTTTTTCTTCCCACTTATACAAGTCTTGATTGTTTTGAATTGGAATCCCATCTAAGATATGTGAGATGATGTTGAAATAGATTGGTTTAATCCATTACCTGTGGCCCTTCTTGACTGTTCATTCTTTATAGTATTTTTCAGTAGCTTCGCTATAATGAGGTAAAAGAATCTTTTCCTTTATGATATGTCACACTCTAGCATAATCTACAATGAGATTACGGTATCTAATATCAATACCAACAAAAATGAGAAATAACATAAAGTCGCTACCATAAACAATCACAACTGTAACTATCTCTGGTCTGGTTAACTCTTATTGGTGTAAGATTTATCAATTCACTGTTAAGGCCTCAAGGGTGGTGTCTTTTTTGCTGTCTGGCATTCAGTTGCTTCATATGGTGCGTTATGCCCTTGTCTGCATCCTGTGGCCACTGGCTATGGCTTTGAATTTTAACTTTATTCTTGCTTTTGATCAGTATTTGGTATAACAATGATGATTCTGCTCAAGTCTGGCCATGAATGATGATTACTTTATTGTTTCTCTGAGGTGTGATTTTCTTCAGACATGTGCCTGCCACCATTTAAGAGACTTGCCCTGGTATTATAACTGGATTAAGCATAAATGGTAGAGGGAGCATGAATCGGTTCAGAGAATTGACCATGATGTTTGAGACTTCACTTGGGAGTTTGCTTTCATCTCTCTCTCTCTCTTTTTATTTTTTTTATTAGTATTTTTTGAGTTCAAATCTTGAGATTAGCATTCTTTGGAATTTATCATTTAAAAACATTCGTCTGATGAGAAAAAATGACTTGTTCTTAAAATTGATAATGGAGGGAGATTTGAGAGTTTGTTTTGTGTTATAATTTGTTTTTTAATGAGATTTGAGAGTTTGTTTTGTGTTATAAATAAAGATGTTTTTTTTTGGATGTTTTAAAATGATTTAGATATTGATTTTTTAAATTATTTTTATTTAAAAAAGTATTAAATTGATGTTTTTTTTGGATGTTTTAAAATGATTTAGATATGATTATGTTAAAAATTAATATATATTATTTTAATATATTATATCCTATGATTATGTTAAAAATTAATATATATTATATCCCAATATGAAACACAATATTGTTAATATTTGACAGTACAAAAATTGCCTGAGAATACTTTTAACAATTAAATAAAAAGATTCGATCAGAGTTTCATCTTTATTTTGTTAATTCACCGTTAATCTAAAAAAGTAAAAGAAAATTATGGAGGGAAAGTTAAAACAATTAAAAAAAAAAACTAGGTGCATCAAATCCCAAATTATCATGATTATACTCATTACGGGGAAAAAAAACTAATTATAATCTCCCATCAATCTTCTAAATCCATCATTACCTTTTATATTGGCTCAAAAGAAGGCCACCTAGATTTATAATGCCATTGAACATCAAAGCAGAAGGTTTTTCTCATTGGTCCACGAATACCTGTCCATATAAAATTATTTATTTAACATCTTGACTTATTGTTGTTTCATGGTTAATTGAAATCTTTAGAATCACTTTTGTTGAATTAGTGGAGATTATTTTCACTTAGTAAGGAGTGGTAATGATTATTTTCTTTATTTTTTAATTATTATTTTCTTTAGTAGCCCTCAAATACATTTTAAAGTGTTTTTATAATATTTTTAAAAAAATTATTTTTAATATTAACATGTTAAAATAATATGAAAACACCAAATTTAAAAAATTATATTAAAAACTAAAACACAAGTTTTTTAAAATATTAGTTGATATATTTTTAATTGAAAATGATGCTTTTAAAAAGCTTTGTGCATTATAGTACCGAACACATACAAATATAAAATTCTTGATGTATCAAAGAGTGTAAATGCAATCTAGTTTTTTTTATAAAAAAACAGAGAGAAAGAAAAAGAATAAATAATCCTTGGTACTTCAAATTCCCTTAATGCTATTTCTCTGTCGAAGGCCATTAAGGATATCCTAACATAAATATTCTTGTCATTTGTAATCTGTCAATGACACAAAAAATAAATAAAAAATTTCCTGTTGAGGTGCATGATAAAGTGTCTTCCCTTGTTTTTATGTTAGTTTATAATATACTTTATAGTTAATTGGTTGATTATACATAATATTATTATATTAATATAAATATATATTTATTATTAATAAAGATTTAATTTATTTTTAATATATTTTTAATATTCATATAATATTATATTAATGAATCTAAAGTAAATATAAAGTTTTTGGGATAAAAATAATTTGCAAAGAAAATTATAAAGTTATTATAATTATAAGATTTATATTGCATCAAAGTATTATTCCTAAAATATTCCAAGTCGATACTCTCTTAAATACTGGATATTCATTAAAGTCATAAAGACTAATATATATTGTGTGTTTTTTTTTTATAAAATGAAGCAATTGTTATCATAAGTTGAGATGTAAGTGATACTTAAAACTAATATGTAGATGTTTGTTATAAGATATGTCTATTGAACTGATCTGCAAAAAACTTTTATATGAAAAGATTACTTATGTCTACGGAAAGATTCACATGATGATTGCGTAAGTGATTCTCAAACTTAAAATTAATAAGTCATCTTATATAGAGAATGTTATGCTTTGATACTATTACATATTTTTTTAATTGAGATTATAGAATGACAGATATTGAATGTAGTATGAGTTATATGAAGGCACTTGAATAATCAAGAGAGAATTCACTACCTTAAATAAATTAAAAAATATATTTTATATGTTTTTAAATAGTATTGACTGAAAAATTCTTGGTTAAGGTGGAATGAGATTTGAAAAGGATTTTAAATCTTATTTATACAATAAATGATCATTATCTAGAGGGCAAACATGATATAACATGACAAATATACTCTATACTTTAATATTAAATCGAAACATTATTGATGAAATAATATTTATTACACAAAAAAATTGGTCACTAAAGGTTAATTCAAACAATTAATGACTTTTTTAATATTTAAGAGATTATAACACGTTGTTAGACGATGCACCTGATTTTCAAATATAAAAATTAAAGACTAGATTATAATTAATACATGGATTGTATTTCTAAACCTGGAAAATTCAAGTAAAGACTTGATTAAGTTAGTTTTCTAAATTTTTCCTGAATTAATATATAAATTTTTTAAAAAAATAAAAGAAGGAGTGGTTGTCTCTTAGATATAAAAATCAAAACTAGCACTTTAGGCATGACAATTTCTCTCTTCTAAATAAAGAATTAGGATATTTTTCACAGGTAGTTCGTGTAAATTATCGTTAAAGGTCGTACAATTAAATGACTTGTATTTGCAAAAACCCAGCTTTTAAAAAATTATTCAAAGCTAAAGAAAATTATATATTTAGATAATAAATTTCTAAATAATTTTAGATTTATCTAACAAGATTTTAGGTATTTTCAAATAATTTTATTTTATAATTTCCTCTATGTTTATGATATTTAAAAACCGAACACCCTGAATTTCACTCCATCTTTTTTAGAATTTAAATCCAAGATCTTGCAATGAGAATTCCAAGTTCTAATAGATAAATTGTAATACTCTTGGGATGGCCCTTCTAGCTTCGAATTTTGTTGCTTGCCTATGCTACAAGATATAAGCACATATTGAATTATCAGTCAGAAAACTGTTTTCCAAATCCAAGGCAGAAAATGGATAAAACGCTACACTAAAGTCGCCCTTGCAATTTATTATTCCTTTTGCCTTAGGATAAAAGAAACCGAAAGAAGGTTGGTGAAATTATTAACCGAAAGATTTTATTTTATTTTTATTTCAATAAAAAACGACCATAAAATGTTTTTGTTTGGTTGGAGAATATAACTTTGCATCTCACCCAAATTAAGTCAAACCTTATCGTATTATAAAAAACTTGAAAATTAAAGCATGAAATTTGATAATTTTATTGAATAAAAATGAACTGAATTATAAAAAAACTAAACTAAATAAAATCAAATAAAATATTTTGGACATATTCTAGATTATGTCACATGTCATACTATCAAGAATAAATAAACAGGGCAAGTGAGGTTCTGGTCTAGCGGTGGAAGGGGCTTGTCCCCTTCCTCTGCACCTGGGTTCGAACCTCACCATGCACGCCTGTCACCCCCGCGGTACCGTACCTGCTCATTGGGCTTGCAGGATGTTCAGTGGGCCGTGAGGATTAGCTGTGGTGCGCGCAAGCTGGCCTGGACACCCCACGTAAATCAAAAAAAAAAAAGAATAAGTAAACAAGGTTATGGCTGAGTGGTTGTTGGGGGAGCTCTCCCTTCCTCGAACTTAGGTTCGAGTCCTAGTAGGAGCGGGGTTGGAGGGTTATTCTCTTCGTGTCTTTACTAGGTCCTCTCTGTGCGATACGTCTGTCACCCTCGCGACACCTTACCTGCTCATTGGGCTTGCAGGATATTCAGTGGGGCGTGAGATTAGTCGTGGTGAGCGCAAGCTGGCCCAGACACCTACGTTAATTAATAAAAAAAAAAGAATAAGCAAACAGGGATGGTAATAAATATTCGTGGATCCGATCTTTTGATATCTATATTTTATTAATTATTTATTAAAAAAATTAGATATTTATAAATTATTAATTAAATTTCAAATATTTAAAAGATATTCATTATTTATTAATCAATAAAAAATAAAATAATTGATATACATATATTTGAATTGTGTGTATATATATCATGTCAATATTAAAATATGAATATATTACATTGCATTAAAAAAATTTGAATAAAAAGAAATAACAAAAAGGGGTGATCTCCGGATTGCCCGTTGAGAGTTTTTGGGCCATGTTTCCTCGATCAACGAAGGGGGGTCCAATGGAGATGGAGACGGCCCACGAATAAATTCTCAAGATTCAGGCTCGGTCCATTTGAAAATTTGACAGAGCCAAGGCCCTAACGTAGCCCATCAATAAGATTTAAGCCAACAAAATTGTAAAATTGAAATCATTTCAATACTATTTATCCAATTTTAATATCTTAAAAATATTAAACAATTTTATAATAATTTTATAGAAATTCAACCCTTTTTTCTTTTACTCCCTCACACATCTACTTGGAATATTTTTTTATCGACCATAATTGGCTGTGTGGATGTTATATTTTCACTAATTTAAATCAAATTAATTTCATAATTTTAAAACTCGTTTTAATACAAAAATATTAATAAATCAAATCAATTCAATCAGCTGAAACCATTTCTAATATAGAATTAATTTACGTTCAATTTCATATGGATGAAGTAGTAAGTTCTCATATTAACATTAATAGTTCAATTTAAAAAATAATAATAATTCTACGAGAAAAAAAGATTGATATAATTATAGCTTAGTCTTTTAATTCAATGAAAATATTTTATTAAGAATGTTTAATGAAATTAATTAATTAATTAGCCATTGTGGTTCCAAGAGCTATAATATAATCTTTACGTTTTAAAGTTTTCTTACAACTTAGTCATTTCATTAATTCCTTGTTACTTTTCCAGTAATTTGTTTTTATTTTTATTTTTAGTTTTTGCAAAATGAAAGAAACAAAAGAGAAACAAGTAAGATGATAAATTTGAATTAAAAAAGAGTGATTTAAGAGCAAAACACGACTAATTTGAAAACGTTCAAAACTAGTAAAAAAATATATAAAATAATGTATAATACATGAACTAATTAATTAATTTTAATAAATCATGGAGTAATTCACTAAAAAAATAAATGAATTATTAAACAAAGAAATATATATAGTACAGATACACATGGATTATGCTGTTAAAAATGACACGTGGCGTAATCCCATTCACTTGACATTCCTTGTTGTCATCACTCTGTCAATAATCCTCTCTGACAAGGGGAAAATTCACTCTTCGACAATGCCTCCTCGTCGATCAACAAGAAGGAGAGCCAAAGCGACAAGCAAGAAATCCACCAGGATCTCAAAACGTCAAGCAGTTCAATCGACAGAGTAAGAAATAAATGAAGAAATTGATGTGGAAGAAGTGAAAATTAAACAAGAAGAGATAAATGAAAATGACAATGTTGTTGATGATTTGGAGCGGAGCCCAGAGCAATTGATAGGAGTTAACGATGATATTTTGGACGACAAATCATGGGTTGTTGCGTTTATGAAGCGGGAAATGGAAGGTGTTTTAGAAGAGAATTTGAACTTCAATGGTAATGAAGGTAATGATGCTGTTATGTTTGTATTATTTTGTTGTGGTAGTGTTTTTGGTTTGGTTTTGGAGAATTATATAATTGATTTTATGTTATCTCTTGATGTTTGATTAATGTATTATGTTTTTGTATAAAATTTGAGGTATTTGAGTCCAGTTTTGGTTTTGTGCAAGTAAGAGATAGAAAAGTTTGATAAGGATGCAAAATTTTTAGTGCTCAGATGAGGGAATTGCGGGAGTCAGAAATTTTATGTGGTAGGGCTAGGGGAAATCTGTGTGGTTTTTTCCAAGTTAGAGAGTGAAAAAATAAATGCAAATGGATACCATGTGCTGCCGAGATGAAGGGCATCGTGGAAATTGAAAATTTAATGTGATGGGATTAGGGGAAAGTCGTGTAGCTGCATGTTTTATGGAAGTTAGAAAGTGATAAAAATGCAAACTTTTTGATGCCCAGATGAAGGGCAGTTTGGAAATAAGTGCACATCCTGGTTTGATTGCTGATACTTTGTTGCATGAAGTGATTATTTGGGTTTCATGTTTGCATTTCCTATTACATTGAAGTTTGGGACTGAATGCTTTTGAAGGTTATTCTTTTACTATTAGCTTTTACTTTTCATCTATCTGAAAGAGTGGTGTTGGTGGATGACATGCTTATTTTCAAACAAATCACAACCCAAAACTAAAGCAAGAGCTATCGCTTGTACCATCTTACGGAATGTAGAAACCATGCTAAATGAACGTGGAAGCTTCTGTTGATATTTTCTGATGTAGAGACATATTAATACTGTGGTCCATATAGAATGGCTGTTCCAGTTACTAGTGTTCTTATCTTGCTATATTTGCATCATGCACAAACTCAAATTTGGAAATTGGACTTTCAACTGGTATTGCTTTGCTAAACCTATGCATTTAACTGCTTGTGCTTAAGTTTTCTGCGTGCCATTCCCCTTGTTTCTTGTTTTTATCTGATAGTGATTATGCTTTTTTTCATTTTTTTAAAAACCAAATTCAACTAGTTGGCCCCTGCTGATTCGCGATGGAGGGGTTACTGATTCTAACTATATACTTGTTGTAGGTGCAAACCAGAATTCTGTTGAAAAAGAGACTCCTGCTTCTGATGAAGTTGTAAAATCTCTCAAGCATATGGATGACATTTCAAGAGTGCAAGAAGGTGGCGATAACGAGGGAAACATTGACAATGTCTTGAAATCACCTGTGCACATGGATAATTGTTCTAGAGTTCAGGAAAGTGGTGATAAGGAAGGGAAGGGTGCAAATGGTGTGAAAAACGACGACTACAATGAAGATAACAATGCCATCCAATCACCTGGACACATGAATGACTTTTACAGAGTCCAAGAAGGTGGTGATGGGGAAGGAAAGAGTGCAGATGAAAGGGAGGGAAAAGATAATGTAAAAAATGCAGAACACAGCAAAGGTAAGAATGTTATGAAATCACCAGGGCATCTGGATGACTTTCTTAGAGTCCGAGAGGGTGGTGATGAGGAAGAGAAAAGAGTGGATGATGTGGAAGATGATGAAGATAACAATGTCATTAAATCACCTGCACATATGGATGACATTTCTGGAGTTCAAGAAGGCAGTGCTGAGGAAGGAAAGACCGTGTGTGAAAGGGAGAGCATAGATGGTGTTAAAGATAACAAAGGCTACAAAGTTAACAATTTCATGAAATCACCAGGGCATGCAGATGAATTTATTGGAGTCCAAGATGATGGTGATGAGGAAATGAAGAGTGCAGATGACAGGGAAGATAATGGAGATGGTGAAGATAACGAAGTCATGGAATCACTTGGGTATTTGGATGACTTTTCTAGAGTTCAAGAAGTAATTAATGAGGATGGAAAGAGCGCATGCGAAACGGAGAGCATAGCTTGTGCAAAAGATAATGAAGTTAACAATGGCATGAAATCACCAGGGCCTGCGGGTGAATTTATTGGAGACCAAGATGATGGTGATGAAGAACTGAGGAGTGCAGATGATATGGAAGATGATGGAGATGGTGAAGACAACAACCTCATGGAATCACTTGGACATTCAGATGACTGTACTGATGTCCAAGAAGGTTGTGATGAAGAAGGGGACATTGCAGATGATGTGGAAGATAATGAGGACAGTGATGATACCGATGAGGTTGAAGATCCTTCTCTAACCAGCTCAGGGAAACAAAGGCAACTAGAAATCCATGTTGGTCACCCTTGCTGTCCCTCTTTCGCTTTCTCCCTATCCCTTGTTTTCTTTTCATTTTTCCTTTTTTTTCCCTTTGAGTTGAAACACAGATGAATCTGTAGGGAAAAGATTGGTAATAAACACAAACATGCCCGTATAGTTTGCATTCATGGAGATGTGACTAATAGAGTGAACCTTGTCCTATTGGTAAATGTAGCTATCCCAGTTAGGTAATTGGTGAATTAGTTGTTGAAAATGAAAAATCATGTCATCAGGCATTTGATTCGATTATGCCTAAATAATTGTTAGTCCATTGACGTAATTGGCTTCTGAAGTTGTGAATATGTTAATCAGTTTTTTACAGAGTTAACAGAAATCTAATATACAGCAGGAAATACATAGGCTTTGGTGGATGCTTTCAGATCACTGTTAAATCACTTTTCCATTTTACTGGTGTTGGTCCTGTAAATGACGGAGACTGTGGCTTTTCTTCTTGTAGGTGACATCTGTTCATGTTAAAGGGCTAGTGAAATCCTGGAATGTAAAGAAGCTGGAAGAGCTTTGCAAACAGTATGGAGACATCATAAATGTTTGGTTACCTCGAAATTTTGGTGCTAAACACAAGGATTTTGGATTTATCGCTTTTAGTTCTCATAAAGGTGCACTTGCTTGTGTGGAAGGGATCAATAAGACACAGCTTGGAGGAGAAACTAAGGTGATTACCTGGATGCTGTAACATGTGTATGTGTGTGTGGATCCCTTAAAGCAACATCTTTTATATCACTTTATGTCTCAGGTTAAAGCTGACCTTGCCAAGACAAGATTTAGAGGTGCAGTGCAGAAGAAAAGGAGATGGGGTAAACATCATGCAAAGTACGAAGAGGTTGAAACTGAAATAAAAGCACAAGCTCATGGTAACAAGTCCAAGGGAACTAGAAAAGGAGGAAGGGGCATTGCTAAAGAAGAGATTCAAGCTCCTTCATTGTTGAATAGTACTAAAGAAGGCAAACCAAACAATCATCGAACCAGTTTCAGTGAATGTCAGGATGCCAACTCAGTAAAAACAGCTCGTAAGATAAAGAATTTGCCTCAAAAAAGGAATGATCGTGGGAAGAGAAAGATTGACCATGATCTTAGTAGTAGACAATCAAAGAAATCTAGAGGTAGTTTTTTGCTATTTGACTTCTTTGTGTTTTCCTGTAGCTGTTATTGCGAGACAGTCTTATGTGGCAAAACTTTGCAGGTAATGCTCAAGGTAGGCAAATCAATAGAAATTCAGCGAGGAAACCTCACCGCGAGGAGGGGAGCAGCACAATTTCTGGATCCAAGAGGCACCGATCAGATATGGTAACTTGTATTTTCCTGCCCATTGATCTAGGGCTGTGGGTTTGATCATATGAAATGATTCTTCCAGGAACCCCATGCTGGATATATAGAACCTGCTACAAGGAAACCAGCTCAACATTATGCAGGGTATGCTGAGGCTGCTCATTGCCATCAAGGGCAATCTCATTTAAGTTACCTTCAACACAGCTTTCAGAATCAAAGCCAACCTTCTGTTAGATACATCGAACCTGGCCTTGGAAGACAAGCCTTACCTCATGCAGGATATATTGAGCCTGCTGCAGAAAAGCAAGGCTTTGTTGCTAATGATCATAGTTTGAGAAGGTTCTTTCTAATGTTGATAGTCTTTCCTTGTGTTTCGAGCTTCTACTTTGATTCAAATGCTTATAAGGTTGTCATTTTTCCACAGAGATGGCAGGTACAGTGGTCAAGGCAACCAGGGATCTGCTTATGTGAGAGGTAGCTTTTTAAGTCCTCTGAATTTTCTTTTTGCATCTTTAGTGCATCCCAAACCTGCTTTATTAAATTTAATTGCTGAAGTTTTGTCAGTCCAATGGGAGAATATGATTTTGTGTTTGAATATTCATTTGGACTTTTGTTTATACATTTATTTCTTGGGAGTGGTGTTGAGCTTGGATTAGTCTTCATATCATTTCTAAAAGACCAAAAAAGTAGGAATTCTATGAACCGAGATTCTTCTATATGTAATATAAATCCATCATTGTAATGTATGTAACCAGCCATTGCAATTCTTGGCTGATTATGTAAGAGTTCGCATATTGCTACTAAATTTCATGGTTTGGCTAGATGGATGAGTGCACGTTCAACATATTCACCTCTGAAGTTGTACAACTTCTGGCGCACCTCTCATTTTTCAGAATTCAGCCCCTGACCCTCTCTCCTCTAGGCTCACATCCGCTATTTGCTCTTGCGGAAGTATTATTACCTCTGATGTTTTGAATCTGTAATTTGTCCAATTGAATGTGAGTAGCGTTATTGCTGTGAGTAGAGGTTCTAATTGTTTACTTAATTGCTTAGATTCTCTCACGTTATTGTTGTACTTGACTGCACAACAATAACATAAATATCACTTCTGAAGTTGTGGAACTTCAGGTGCAATTTTGTCTGCATGTTCTTTTACCCATTTTCCCTTCTTCCCAAGCATGCACCCACACTACTTGCTTATATAGGCAGTGTAGTGTTTTGCATGTGTAATCTTACAAATCAAATATGAGTAACTGTTTTTCTGTATCTGGAATATTGCCATCTAGTCTCAATACATGGTTTAGTGTTTTACCATATTACCCTCATGGATACTATTCTAGATTCTCCTTAGTGGTTCTAAATTTCTGATATCTCTTGATAGATCTCTTTTAAGCTAGCTGAACTTTATTTACTTCTAATGGTCTCATATTAGGGTCTCCCTAGGATGAATTTACCCTACCGTTCATATAATGATATGATAGTTCTGTTCTTATTGCAGAGTCAGGTGTTCCATCTTCCTATGCTCAATATTACACAAGCATCTCTGTCTATCAGGTATCCTTTCTTGCCCAAGTTACATCTCCATCCACCAACTTTGGCTGTTTTTTATACAAATTAGCGCACATTATCTGTTTTATCAACTATGGCCACAAATTCTGCATTCCGTAGGATTTTTTTTTTAAAAAAGAAATTGCTGAGCTAAATTTTCCCAAAGAAGTGTGTTTTCATGACGTGATAACTCGGGAGTGGTTTCAAAACTCTTTTCCCAGTTAGCTTATCTTTGATTTGACAATGGTTGTATAAAGTTGTGACTCTGGAGTTGGAAGATATTATAGTTTTTATTGAATCCAACTCTCTTTGAATGGTTGTCCGGGCATTGCCCGTGAATGCCTGTCTTTTGAAACATATGCATGCGTACTCATGCATAGTCTTCAGCTTCTAAAAGTTAATACCTAGTATCTTTGTTGCATGCAGGGTGTTGCTGGCGTTAGTAGGTATCATCACAGCGGTGGAACATACCTGCCTCATCAATAGTACTATTGAATATTTGATAGGTAGAGCCTGAAACAATATGGCTCTTCTAGGTATCTCCCATGAAAATCAACTTATTTATCGACTCCTCTTCTCACATGTAGATTTTTTCAGAGGAAATAAATCACTGTACGTTTCACATTCAGAAGCCACACTTAATCCTATACAAGAGGCAATAACCATGCATCATCAAGTTATCTAACTCATGGGAGTCTGCGACCCATGGTCTGCAGGGATATCCTTCTTTATTTAGTGGAAGTTTGTTCTGTAGGAGAAAACTCAAAAAGAGAACTTGTGATTTTGATTTCTGGGGTTTTCATTGGTGACCTTTCTGAATGAGGTTGGGATCTTGGAGTTTCAGTTGGCGGTGACACAGGTGTGCTCTCTATTCCTTTCATCTGGTCAAGAAGACGTTGGCGTGAGTGGCAATAGAGTAGGCCTCTCGCAGTTGGGACTAGTAATAAGAATGAATTTTCATCTTTTAGCTTCTGAAAATTATCTAATCTCAACGCGAATGACTTATTTGAAAAAATAGAAGAGTCGGCCGTCTTTGGAAGAAGGATTGGTGCACTTTTTGAAAGAGGGATGAAGACAACCTTATCTCGATCCAGCATTAGCAGAATTGCGGACTCAATAAGCTTTCCCTGTGTTGCGTAGTAACATTCTCAGTGCTCCTAAACAAGCAATCTAGCAGTCATCTTCCTTCTCTGCAACATGTGCCACTCTAAACCAAATAAGCAGCTAGCCCTTCAAAGCTTGAAGCTCTTGACATGTTTTACCATCAACCACGTAATTACAGTAAACCAAATAAGCAGCTAGCCCTTCAAAGTTTGCCGGGGCATTGTCACCAAGTAAAAAGCTTCAGCAAACCTGGTCTAGGAGATTGCATGATACAATGCTTAGAGTATTATAAGATTTTCTGACGTAAAAGGGTAAACTAGCACTAAGATTCAAGAATTTACATGAAGCTCTTGACATGTTTTAGCATCAACCACGTAATTACAATCTGTGTTGACTCGGAATCGTAGGGTTACACTGAAGAGGTTAAACTAAACAGTGGCACGGGACCAAGAGGAAGAAGATGATCTAAAATTATCAAAGTTCAAAGTTGAGTAACTTTTACCGACCAAACATTATTTTTATTGCCAGTTTGACAAAGCGACATACTGCCATTGCACTTGTTTTACCAGCAAAAACATAAACTAGTAATGTTTTTGTTGCGGTGTAATCTATAATGCGCCATATTACTAAACACGTCCTAATCGATATCTTAATATAATCCATTGAAAACTTAACAAAGAAAAATTCTAAGTCATCCATGGATGCTGGGTCATGCATAGCATTTGCGTTAGACCCTACAAAATTCCATTTAATAAAAGGGTGAATTGACTATTTACGAAGTAGCAAGAAAACTAAATCTTCACATGCTTAAAATTCAAATGATTTTTTCTTGCCCATAGATATATATATATATATATATATATATATTTTATTTGGTTTAACTTTTAGGATGATTATCTATGCCCAAATTAGATAATTCATAATCTTAAAATTTAAACTCTTAATTTGCATTTGATAAATCCTTTTATTATTTTGTTCAGATTCAATCATTTAAATTTTATATTAATATTATCCGATTAAATTCTGATTGCATTATAAACACACTTAATTATAAAAACATTTTACTAAGTTGTCAGATAAATTGAACTTCAAAATAACCAAAAATAATTAGTGAAAATAAAATAATCATAATTAGAAATTAAAAAAAAAAATCCACCGAAAACAAAGAGAAAGTCAAGGCATCCCACCGTTTCCTAGATGACACGGAGCCCGCACATTCATCTCTATCTCTCTCTCTCTCTAATCTTTCTTATCAGATACGAAGAGGAGCAAAATCATGGGTAATACATGCTGTTTTTTATGTGGATGCATAGACCAAGCTAGCGTTGGTGTTGTTGAAAGGTGGGGTCGTTTTGAGCGCCTGGCTCCGCCAGGTTTCCACTTCTTTAACTGCCTTGCTGGTCAATGTTTGGCCGGTGTTTTGTCTACCAGAATTCACTCCCTTGATGTCCGCATTGAAACCAAAACCAAGGTTTTTTCCTTATTAATTCTCGATTAAGTTTCATTTTGTTTGGTTTCTTCGTAATTAAGGAATGTAAGGTTTGTGAGTTCTGTCATGTTTTGTGTTTCTTGGATTTTTGGTTGTGGGTTGCGTGTTTTGTTGTGTTTTCTGTAGGATTTTTGGGGGTTTTAGGGCTTGGTGTTTATTGGCCTTTTTGGTGATTAAGGAGTGTAGAATTTGTGGGTTTTGTTTGGATTTGTGTTTCTTGGATTTCTGGATGTGGGCCTTGTGTTTTGTTGTGTTTGATGGAGAGGTTAGGGGTTCTAAAGGCTTTAGTATTTAGTATTTGTTAATGTGTTTACAAGATTTGAGACTTTTGAAGTACCTGATCCCTTGTTTATAATGGCTCTGATCGGTTCCCCGATATGTTTAATGTGATCAGATTGCTAATTATGTGACACTATTTCTGTTGTGACCATGTTTGGTTGTTGAGAAAAGCCGGTGTAAGTAAAAGAGATTAGAATTTGAGTTTTCAGGGTTTTATGCTGTTTCTATCATGAATGTGATTGTTAGGTGATGAAATAAAATTTGCACTGTATTCTCTGTTGTTTGATTTTGTGCTGTCCTCTAATGGTTAGTTTTGGGCTGAGATTTTTGTTTCTCTCTTATAGAAAATTAAGGGCTTTACATAGTTTTATGTCAGTGCAGGATAATGTCTTTGTGCAGTTGGTTTGCTCGATTCAGTACCGAATAGTCAAGCAAAATGCTGATGATGCATTCTATGAGTTGGCAAATCCCAGGGAGCAGATTCAGGCTTATGTATTTGATGGTAATCCACAGTTGTAGCATGGAATACAGATTTTTATTATCCAATAATGTGTCTATATTACTCTTCCTTTTTTGAGTTTTGAGAGTTTTCACCTTGTTTCATTGTGACGTATCTCATGTTTCTTAAGTGGTTCGAGCTATTGTTCCAAGAATGGCATTGGATGAGCTTTTCGAGCAGAAGGGTGAGGTTGCCATAGCTGTCTTGGAGGAATTGGAGAAGGTAATTGGATACCTGCTTCTTTTGTTGAATCCCATGGTTTTATAAATTTGTAGCAGTGGTTCTTTGGATTATTCAAATGCACTCTTCTTGATATATGATTCCTTTTTCTTTTCTTTTTTTTTGTGTGTGCGTGCTATTGTTCTTATCTTATGTTGACTTAATGAATCAGGTGATGGGAGCCTATGGCTACTGCATAGAGCACATTTTGATGGTTGACATTATACCTGATGATACTGTACGCAGGGCAATGAACGAGATCAATGCAGGTATTAATCACCTTCTACACATTCTCACTTGTTTTACTACATAAATACCTTCTTGTTCTTTTTTTTTTGGATATCATATGAAAGTCATTGCTGATTTCTGGAAGGACACGGGAACTAAAATAAGTTGCCTACTCAATTTTTATACTTTTAGCTCTCATAGTTTGCAAGATGTAATAGACCAACTTTAACTGAATTTTCCACTACCATTATTCACTGTGAATTGTTTGTCTTTTAGCTAACTAGATGGTGTGTATTCTTGCTATCTTTCTAACAGCATCCAGATTCTTGTTTCATTTTATGGATCTCATTATCTCTATGCATGAAATTTGTCATTATACAGAGTAATGGTTTTACTAAACATCAACAATTGTAAACTTTCTTTCTTGGTAATTTCCTTAAAGTCTAAATTATCTGTTGATGTTTGATTTTGAACAAGCTTCCAGTTCTATGTATCTGATATAGTGATCATTTGCTTGCTTGCTATTAATGGCATTTAATTATGATCCTCAACTTCGTTTGCAAATAACTTTTGCATATCAATTCTGTATCTCAGCTCAACGACTTCAGCTTGCTAGTGTATACAAAGGTGAAGCCGAAAAGGTGCTCCAAGTCAAAAGGGCAGAAGCTGACGCTGAAGCCAAGTACCTTGGTGGGGTTGGTGTTGCCAGGCAGAGGCAGGCAATCACAGATGGTTTGAGAGAGAACATACTGGAGTTCTCACACAAGGTGGCAGGCACATCAGCTAAGGAGGTGATGGATCTCATCATGATCACACAGTACTTTGACACCATCAAAGACCTCGGCAACTCATCTAAGAACACCACTGTTTTCATCCCTCATGGCCCTGGTCATGTAAGAGACATCGGCGACCAGATTCGCAATGGGTTGATGGAGGCATCCTGTGCTCAAATTGATGAGCAGTGATACCATTCACCAGGCATCTTCCAAAGCACATTTTCTTTGAATTTGAATGCAAGATGGAAAAAAATACGATTTATGTAAATAGGATGAAATCCTATATTTTAAGTTTGTCATTGAACATGTATTATGAGTTTTTTATGCTCGAGTTGCCCTTTTCGCTAATGGAAAAGAAAACTATCCTTCGAAAACCTTTTTTACCATCACAATTTGCCTATAGAAAAGCTTCAGACATTCTACTTCACCGTATACACTTTTCACTTGTCTTCACCATCATCGTGTTTATCAAACGAAAACGTGTCCTGTCACCATCTTCACAAACAAAAAATCCTATGGGAGGAGCTTGTTCTCTTTCTCTGTATCTGGGTTTGCATCTCATTATGCACGCCTGTCATCCCCGCGGTGTCTTATCTGTTTACTGGGCTTGCAGGATGTTCAGTGAACCGTGTGGATTAATCGTGGTGTGCGTACGCTGATCCGGACATCCACGTAAATTAAAAAAAAAAAGAAAAAATCCTATGACGCTCATGCTATGATTATTAGATATTTACAGCAACATAAAAAGGAGAGAGAATCATGAAAGAAAGACGCACAAGGAGGAGAAACACAGTAAGGGGAGAAAAACTAGAGAAAAGGGGATAGAAAGAGAATAAAAAAACAGGAGAGGGAGAGAGAGAGTTTGTCCAGTAATTACAATTTGAGCATTGTGAAACTTTCCTCTAAACGCATCTATCTCTTAATCGAAGTCTATCTATAATCATAGCCTATCGTTTCTATCGTCCCTTTTAATTTGTAACTCGCTCTCCATTCATCACGTTCCAATAATAAACACAATAGTGAAATTTGAAAATAAAATACGAAAAATTTGTGAACTAAATATAATTTATTCAGATTCGCATTAAGAAATTTAACAAATTCTTTAGCACCACCTCACTTGCAATAGTGTTGCTTTTCAACAAAAACTAAATATAATTTATAATATATAACATTGTTACAGTATTCTTTGGGTATTTATCTCAGTCTTATAATCTTTTTTATAAATTTAATAGGTTAATCAATTTAACTTGAGTTTTTTTTTCAATTTAATTCTTCAACATTGAATTTATTAAAAATTACATTTCATGATTTGTTTCAGTTTACTTTCTATAAGATTATTTTGATCTTATCACATGAATCACATGTTAATCTAGGTAGACTTAAGTTATTTTATTATATTTTTTTCTAAATTTTTTTTTTTAAAATTTTATCCTTCAATATTAAATTGATTAGAAATTGAGTTTCATAATTTGTTTTAATTTGATTTTTATGGGGTTATTTTAGTGTAATAATTCTGGTAATAGGTTTGACAAGTTAACTTGAATTGACTAAGGTTATTTTTTTTTTAATTTTCTATGAGGTTATTTTGATCTCATAACCCAATTATGATTTTAACAAGTTAACCTAAATTGACTCAAGTTAATTTTTTAGTTTTTTAATTGATTTCTTTAATCTCATCATCCAACATTTGGATGATTGGAAACTAAATTTCATAATATTTTTTAATTTATTTTTCATGGAATTATCTTGGTTTTATGACTTAAGTCATGAGTTTAGTAGGTTTACTCGGGTTATTTTTAGGTCGTTTTTAATTAAACTCCTTTCAATTTCATCATTTAATATTAAGTTAATTTGAAATTGAATTTTATAATTTATTTTATATGGAGTTATTATGGTCTCATGAACCAAGTCGTTGATTTAGTAAGTCAATCCAAGTCAATCCAATATATTATTATCTTAATATCTAAAAAATATATCATCTTTAATCTCTTTTAAATCAAATTATATTTTTATTAATTATTTAGATTACATTTAGAGTCTCCACGTTATATCCAATCAATTTCTATATAATTTAAATCCCAGGGAGCAGATTCAGGCTTATGTATTTGATGGTAATCCACAGTTGTAGCATGGAATACAGATTTTTATTATCCAATAATGTGTCTATATTACTCTTCCTTTTTTGAGTTTTGAGAGTTTTCACCTTGTTTCATTGTGACGTATCTCATGTTTCTTAAGTGGTTCGAGCTATTGTTCCAAGAATGGCATTGGATGAGCTTTTCGAGCAGAAGGGTGAGGTTGCCATAGCTGTCTTGGAGGAATTGGAGAAGGTAATTGGATACCTGCTTCTTTTGTTGAATCCCATGGTTTTATAAATTTGTAGCAGTGGTTCTTTGGATTATTCAAATGCACTCTTCTTGATATATGATTCCTTTTTCTTTTTTCTTTTATTTTTTGCTTCTTGATATATGATTCCTTTTTCTTTTCTTTTTTTTTGTGTGTGCGTGCTATTGTTCTTATCTTATGTTGACTTAATGAATCAGGTGATGGGAGCCTATGGCTACTGCATAGAGCACATTTTGATGGTTGACATTATACCTGATGATACTGTACGCAGGGCAATGAACGAGATCAATGCAGGTATTAATCACCTTCTACACATTCTCACTTGTTTTACTACATAAATACCTTCTTGTTCTTTTTTTTTTGGATATCATATGAAAGTCATTGCTGATTTCTGGAAGGACACGGGAACTAAAATAAGTTGCCTACTCAATTTTTATACTTTTAGCTCTCATAGTTTGCAAGATGTAATAGACCAACTTTAACTGAATTTTCCACTACCATTATTCACTGTGAATTGTTTGTCTTTTAGCTAACTAGATGGTGTGTATTCTTGCTATCTTTCTAACAGCATCCAGATTCTTGTTTCATTTTATGGATCTCATTATCTCTATGCATGAAATTTGTCATTATACAGAGTAATGGTTTTACTAAACATCAACAATTGTAAACTTTCTTTCTTGGTAATTTCCTTAAAGTCTAAATTATCTGTTGATGTTTGATTTTGAACAAGCTTCCAGTTCTATGTATCTGATATAGTGATCATTTGCTTGCTTGCTATTAATGGCATTTAATTATGATCCTCAACTTCGTTTGCAAATAACTTTTGCATATCAATTCTGTATCTCAGCTCAACGACTTCAGCTTGCTAGTGTATACAAAGGTGAAGCCGAAAAGGTGCTCCAAGTCAAAAGGGCAGAAGCTGACGCTGAAGCCAAGTACCTTGGTGGGGTTGGTGTTGCCAGGCAGAGGCAGGCAATCACAGATGGTTTGAGAGAGAACATACTGGAGTTCTCACACAAGGTGGCAGGCACATCAGCTAAGGAGGTGATGGATCTCATCATGATCACACAGTACTTTGACACCATCAAAGACCTCGGCAACTCATCTAAGAACACCACTGTTTTCATCCCTCATGGCCCTGGTCATGTAAGAGACATCGGCGACCAGATTCGCAATGGGTTGATGGAGGCATCCTGTGCTCAAATTGATGAGCAGTGATACCATTCACCAGGCATCTTCCAAAGCACATTTTCTTTGAATTTGAATGCAAGATGGTAAAAAATACGATTTATGTAAATAGGATGAAATCCTATATTTTAAGTTTGTCATTGAACATGTATTATGAGTTTTTTATGCTCGAGTTGCCCTTTTCGCTAATGGAAAAGAAAACTATCCTTCGAAAACCTTTTTTACCATCACAATTTGCCTATAGAAAAGCTTCAGACATTCTACTTCACCGTATACACTTTTCACTTGTCTTCACCATCATCGTGTTTATCAAACGAAAACGTGTCCTGTCACCATCTTCACAAACAAAAAATCCTATGGGAGGAGCTTGTTCTCTTTCTCTGTATCTGGGTTTGCATCTCATTATGCACGCCTGTCATCCCCGCGGTGTCTTATCTGTTTACTGGGCTTGCAGGATGTTCAGTGAACCGTGTGGATTAATCGTGGTGTGCGTACGCTGATCCGGACATCCACGTAAATTAAAAAAAAAAAGAAAAAATCCTATGACGCTCATGCTATGATTATTAGATATTTACAGCAACATAAAAAGGAGAGAGAATCATGAAAGAAAGACGCACAAGGAGGAGAAACACAGTAAGGGGAGAAAAACTAGAGAAAAGGGGATAGAAAGAGAATAAAAAAACAGGAGAGGGAGAGAGAGAGTTTGTCCAGTAATTACAATTTGAGCATTGTGAAACTTTCCTCTAAACGCATCTATCTCTTAATCGAAGTCTATCTATAATCATAGCCTATCGTTTCTATCTTCCCTTTTAATTTGTAACTCACTCTCCATTCATCACGTTCCAATGATAAACACAATAGTGAAATTTGAAAATAAAATACGAAAAATTTGTGAACTAAATATAATTTATTCAGATTCGCATTAAGAAATTTAACAAATTCTTTAGCACCACCTCACTTGCAATAGTGTTGCTTTTCAACAAAAACTAAATATAATTTATAATATATAACATTGTTACAGTATTCTTTAGGTATTTATCTCAGTCTTATAATCTGTTTTATAAATCTGTTTTATAAATTTAATAGGTTAACCAATTTAACTTGAGTTTTTTTTTTCAATTTAATTCTTTAACATTGAATTTATTAAAAATTACATTTCATGATTTGTTTCAGTTTACTTTCTATAAGATTATTTTGATCTTATCACATGAATCACATGTTAATCTAGGTAGACTTAAGTTATTTTATTATATTTTTTTCTAAATTATTTTTTAAAAAAATTTTATCCTTGAATATTAAATTGATTAGAAATTGAGTTTCATAATTTGTTTCAATTTGATTTTTATGGGGTTATTTTAGTGTAATAATTCTGGTAATAGGTTTGACAAGTTAACTTGAATTGACGAAGGTTATTTTTTTTTTAATTTTCTATGAGGTTATTTCGGTCTCATAACTCAATTATGATTTTAACAAGTTAACCTAGATTGACTCGAGTTAATTTTTTAGTTTTTTAATTGATTTTTTTAATCTCATCATCTATAATATATAACATTGTTACAGTATTCTTTGGGTATTTATCTCAGTCTTATAATCTTTTTTATAAATTTAATAGGTTAATCAATTTAACTTGAGTTTTTTTTTCAATTTAATTCTTCAACATTGAATTTATTAAAAATTACATTTCATGATTTGTTTCAGTTTACTTTCTATAAGATTATTTTGATCTTATCACATGTTAATCTAGGTAGATTTAAGTTATTTTATTATATTTTTTTCTAAATTTTTTTTTTTAAAATTTTATCCTTCAATATTAAATTGATTAGAAATTGAGTTTCATAATTTGTTTCAATTTGATTTTTATGGGGTTATTTTAGTGTAATAATTCTGGTAATAGGTTTGACAAGTTAACTTGAATTGACTAAGGTTATTTTTTTTTTAATTTTCTATGAGGTTATTTTGATCTCATAACCCAATTATGATTTTAACAAGTTAACCTAAATTGACTCAAGTTAATTTTTTAGTTTTTTAATTGATTTCTTTAATCTCATCATCCAACATTTGGATGATTGGAAACTAAATTTCATAATATTTTTTAATTTATTTTTCATGGAATTATCTTGGTTTTATGACTTAAGTCATGAGTTTAGTAGGTTTACTCGGGTTATTTTTAGGTCGTTTTTAATTAAACTCCTTTCAATTTCATCATTTAATATTAAGTTAATTTGAAATTGAATTTTATAATTTATTTTATATGGAGTTATTATGGTCTCATGAACCAAGTCGTTGATTTAGTAAGTCAATCCAAGTCAATCCAATATATTATTATCTTAATATCTAAAAAATATATCATCTTTAATCTCTTTTAAATTAAATTATATTTTTATTAATTATTTAGATTACATTTAGAGTCTCCACATTATATCCAATCACTTCCTATATAATTTAATTTTTTTAATTAAAAAATATTAATAATATCTAAATATTTTTTTTAGCCACTGGAGCACTTGCAAACAAACTAGAATGCCACTAAATCCAACTGATTCCCTCTAATCATTACACTATTTATAATATTTTTCACTCAATTTAATTTTACACCATTTAATTGTACAAGTTCTTCAATTAAATCATTTTAAATCTTAAAATTGTTGTGGAATAACACCATTGAAATGAATTAGAAAAGGATATATTTGGTTACCATTCAGGGGGTTCACTGAGGCTAAGCACATCAGGGGATTTTTTGTCCCCATTATAGAAAGCAACACTTTAAACTTTCTTCTTGTAAAATCAAATGAAATATGTTATATTTTGAAACTACAATTGCAATCTTGAACCACCAATTCCTTCTTGGAAAACTATTGTAATATGTAATAACCCTCTTGTTAACTTTATAATTTAATAACCTAGGCTTTTTTATGGAGTATTTTTAAATTAAATTTGATAATTATTAGGGTGTTTAATTGAACAGTCTAATTACCGTTTCTCTCAATTTTATTTTTTTAAAATTAAATTTTTTATGTGTAATTACCGTTTCTCTCAATTTTATTTTTTCAAAATTAAAATTTTTACATGTTAAAATTGTTTTAATATGTTAATACTAAAAATAATTTTTTAATATATTTTTAAATAAAAATGCTTTAAAAACACATCATTACTTCATTTATAAACACGTTGTAAGATGCAATTTGGTTTAAGAATCGATTGAATCTTCTTGTTCATGAAAGATTAACCTAAACGTGAAAATTCGTAATCAAAACCACAGATAATAATCAAACTTAGCATCTAATCCTAAATTTGATTCACCAGAAGATACTTGCTCCCCCGTGCATGTGCTGAATGAAGTACAGAATGGGTACAAAAGGACACCAACATGTGCTAAAGCTTCTAGCCAACGTATCTAAATGGATCCATGCTCGAAAAAAGCTCAGGAAACCTGCAACTTCAAGACTTTTATTAATCTGTTATTATTCCAAAATCATGCTCCTCTTGATTCAAACCATGCAGAGAGAAGAAGACGACGACGACGACAATGACGACGATGAAGAGAAGGAGAAGATGACATATAATCAAGGGATTAAAAAACATAATTATGTGCGTCACGTATCTCATTAATACATATACATAAATACATATAAATACACGTGAGTGTGCTCATACATATAAACTCAAAGGCATATAGATATTAGTATTTTTGTTTAATTTTTTTATAAATTATAAATAGCAATATAATTGAAGAAGAAGAAGATGAGGCAATGCAACAATGCAAGTTAATGCAACGAAACAAAATAACATACATATAATAAAAATTAATCAAGGAACGTCGACCCATGCATCCATGTAGCCCTACAAGGATGCATTATTACCAATTAATCAGAATCTTTCAACCCACTACTTGTTTATATTATACTTTACGATCCTCCCCATTCCTCAACAAATTCTGAGTACCCCCACGTTCTCTGATTAATTCTTCTTCTTCTTTTTTTCCCACTTGTTGATTTTATGGAGTCTGATTGCAACCAAGGCAAGAGATCGATCACTAACAGCTTGGAAAATATTCAAAGACTACGTTCATGTTGACCAGACCATAGCTACACACAATTGCAGCATCTCCCATGGAGAATCGGACAAAAGGGGACATCTTACCACAATGCAAGAGAGACCAAAAGACAAAAAAATAGAAAAAAAAAATAGAAATGGGGATTGATTAATTTGTCATCTATGTTCTAGGAAGGAAGCAGCTTGATTTGGATCTACATCTTTGTTTTGCTTTCAGGGGGCAAAAATTGGACCTCCTGTAATGTAGCTGGCCAGTTGGTCATGCTCATAGCCAGCCATTCAAGACCTCTAAATTATGGAAAATTAACATGATTAAGCATATCCATGAAGGTGTCTGCAGCTATCGTTACGGGACGAAGGTTGTCATGAGTAGACATGATTATTTTTTAAGTATTTTTTGTTTGAAAAATATATTAAAATAATATTTTTTAATTTATTTTTTATATCAAAACATCAAAATAATATAGAAATACAAAAAAAATTATTTTGAATCAAAATAATATAGAAATACAAAAAAAAAAATTATTTTCAAGAAAAGAATGGCAAAACCAAACACGCTCCTCAAAATCCAAATTATGTTAATAGATGCTACCCAATTACCGAAACCAAACTAAACTTAGGATCCCAATTAATCGGATGGAAGGAGTTAATTAGGTAACATATGGTTGAATGAGGGCTCAATTTGAACAAGGAGTTGATTAGTTTGGGGGCTATGTTTGCTCTTTCTCCAATATTGTTTTGTTAATCTTGATGTTAATTTAGTCTGTGTTTTTTCTTTTATATTATTTTTGGTTCTGCAGGCAGCATTCTGATGAAGCAACCACTCTTCTAATCCAATCAAAAGTATGATAATTAATTCATATTATAATTAGGATATTTATGGGGATTTTTTACTTCTAGAGTTAAAGAGTTCTTAGATGCCATTGGTTGTCAGATTTTGGAGTAGGAATTTAATAGCTATATCTTAAATTTGTGGTGATAAGTTTGGATTTCAATATAAAAAAAAATCTCTTTTCTTTGAGCCATAATATATGCTTTAGAGCATTTCATTACTATTTCATGATAAAAAATAAAAAATTAAAAAATTAAAAAATATATTTCGTGTATTTTGTATTTTAAAAATATATAAATTCACTCAAAAACTTGGTCATATATTTATTTAATATTTTTATCTTTTCAATCAAATATATATTTATTGTTGTCTTTTCTATTGTAGAACAATAAATACTCATTATTAATATATCTTATCAGAATAATCAAGCTTATTTTGACCTTAATTTATAGATTTTAGAGTGCACGTGCACAAGAGGACTATCAACAAGCTACGCATTGTTTTGCTCCATATTCTGACAATTAATCTAAAACAAAATAAATTAATTAGATTTTCATTAATAAGTACAAGTTTGCTGGCTTGCTTACAAGACTAACATGGGTGTCTTGTTGGATTAGTCCCTAAAAAATCTCAACCAGACCTAATACATTGCCGCAAATGTCTAATTATGTCACTACAATGGTGGACAAAACAGCTAATCAATGAATTAACCCTCCCAGTTGAATGATAGAGCCTGCAAAATCAAGCTAAGATCTTATTAAAAATGGAAGAATCATCTACAAATTAGCTTAAATTATTTCAAAGGCGGTGCCCGGGAAGCTCGCCTATTTTTTTTTTTAATTTTTTTTTCGCCTAAAGAATTATTGAAGCTTGGGATCAATTAAAAGATGCCCATAATTTTCTGTCTCGAAAATCATTGAAGCTTATCTTCGTTGATGCATCCTTTTGTTCTTATAATATTTTTAACTGGGCCAGTTGGATTGACAGTCTCTTGACCGACCACCGTTTCTTGACAGTCCTATATATATATAGTTCCATCTGTATTACAAAGACATCATCAAAATCCAGCTTGAGAAAACCTCTACTCCTATCCGAAATCTGAATCAAAAGAAGAAAAAGCAACAGCATGGGTTACTGGTCTGCTGAGAATGCTACTAATGCATACCTCAAGACTCTGAGAATGGTAAGTCCACGAACATTTTTTGTAATTTGAGTTCATGATCTCTGGCAGTATTTCCTAACTGGGATTTTGAATTGATCTTGATGCAGGGTCAAAAGGCAAACGAGCCAGATGAAGCTGAATTCATTTCAGCATTAGCCGCTGGTAACAATGCACAACTAATGGTTGTAGCATGTGCCAATGCTGCCACCACAACCACAGTGGCCCTAGTGGCTGCAGCCCATCAAACTGGTGGCCGTGTAGTTTGCATCCTTCCTGGTCATCAAGAATTACAACTATCTAAAAAAATCCTAGGTTGTGATGCCTGTCATGTTGAGTTCGTTATTGGAGAAGCTCGAAGTCTATTATTAAGCCATTATAGTGAAGCGGATTTTGTGCTTATTGATTGTAACCTTGAGAATCATGATGGTATTCTTGGCGCAGTACGAGCAGGCAGGAAAAGAAACGGAGCTGTTATAGTGGGGTATAATGCATTTAGCAAGAGATCATGGCGATCTGGTGGGTCAAAAACACAGTTGTTGCCTATTGGAGGAGGATTACTGGTGACCAGAATTCCTACAGATGCCAAGATTGCTGATGGCTGTGGTTGCGGGAAGAGGAGCCATTGGGTTGTCAAGGTAGATAAATGTACCGGCGAAGAGCATGTTTTCAGGGTCAGATTCCCACAAGGGAAACAAATCGAAGCTTAATTAGTTCTAATTTAGAGAGTCATCAAGATGTAAAATATCAAAATCATATTTCAAATCTGGAAAATAACCAGATACAGCTAAAACAGATAGAACTGAAATGTTCAAAAGGAAAAATAACCAAATCCAGGGAACCTAGCAGGATAGCCTGAAAAACTCTGGTGAGCAGGGAACCTATAAATCATGATGTTCTGATAAATCTCTCCATGATCAACAATCCGAGAAGGGAAATAGGGGTGATTGACTGCGTCAGGAAATACTTGCGTCTCTAAGCAAATACCAGCATGCTTAGCATAAACGCATCCACCTTTCCCCTGGACATTGTCAAGCATGTTACTTGCATAAAACTGCACTCCAGGCTGATTGGTCCATAGCTCCAACTTCCTCCCAGACACAATTTCTTGCACAACAGCAACGTTCATAAAGTGTCCAGGATTCAAGTCATCTAACACATAGGTGATGTCATATCCATCAGGCAATTGATTGAACATGCTCCCAATCTCCCTGGCTTGGAGGGAATCATAAGGTGTATCCTTGACGTTGACAATTTCTCCTGTCGGAATGAGTTCTTCATCCACAGGAGTAACTTCAGATCCAAAAAGCTGGATGGTATGAGAGAAGATGTCACCACTGTTGTGTCCACCGAGATTTCAGTAAGCATGCAGTGCCAAGTTCACTGGGGTAGGCTTGTTTAGAGGCTTAGCCCACATTCTCACAGCTAGCTTGTTTGCTTGAACTATCATGTATGTCTCACAGACACAGAAACATCACCAGGAAAACCTATAGAAAAGAAATTCTCCGATCAATGCAAACACCATACATGTATACAAGGCACAAAGATCAGATACAAATGAGACAGAATTCTAGCCATGGAAAGAAACATTACCTTCCTCTCCATCAAAGCTGTTGTACGTGAATGTTGTATGTTTACCATTATGACTAGCTACATCTCAGACAGCCTCACTAAAACCTTCAGGGCCATGTAAAATGTATGAAATATGGAGGGAAAATAGCATAGCAAAGGCATGAAAGTAAAAGGATATCGTGGTTCAAGAACATCACTCTTCATTCTTTTCAGCATGACATGTCCATCGAAGAACCCTCCTAGAAGAGAATACCAAGAAAGACCAGTACACTATTTGTTTGATTCCAAATTGATTACGAAATAAATTAAAGATTGCTTGACCCATTTTATATTTGATGAAAAATAAAATAAAATAAAAATACCTAGAAAAAGTAGTAGAGCTGTTGTACCTCGTACTCATCAGCTGGATCAAATCCAAGAACAGTGTCCTCTAATTTTCCTGAAAATAAAAAACGAGAGAGCATTTATATCATTATCAGTATTTTTAACATTAATAATATTAAAAAAAAAAAAACGAAATAAGGAATTAAGGAAATGAAAGCAAACCATTTTTATCTGGGAGAACAACGGGAAGCAGGGTTGCTCCAAAATTGGTCACCTTAATTGAGAAATCACCCTTTCTCAGCTCATAAATCCCGTCTTCATTCTTTGCTTGATTAGAGTTAAGATTTGAAGATAATCCTGTTATGATTTACCTAAAATTCTTTAATTATTTGTTTTATTTCAATTCATATTTATTATATTTTACATTTTAACTCGTATTTATTGTATTTTATTGTTTTTCATATTTTATCATCAAAACATGTTTCATTATAATAGCTTCATTATCCACTTTTACATCCTCCTGTTTCAACAAAATTCATTCTTTTATTCAATGGTAACTCTTGTTCTTTTTTTTTTAGCAAACCTTTTTTTAATTTTATCATTCCATTTTATTTTTTTTAGAAATTTGACTCGGTGATTTGCTTACATTTTCTTTATATTTGGTTATCACTGTAACAAAAGGGAACGTGCCGATATTAGGATTCTCAATTAACTAAAATATTTTGATGTATAATCCTCCAAATTAGGATTCATGAATGAAAAATCTCTTTCATTTACTATTAGTAAGAATTAGTTGTGCAAAAGTAATGAACACGTAATGCAGCTAATAGAGTGGTAGAAGTTGCTATTAATATCTGCTATTTTTGGCGGCAAGTCAAGTCTTACACATTCAATACTTAGCTGTGTCCTTTGAAGGATGAGAAATTCTGATAACATCTGAGATGGAGTTTGTTCTTGAGTTTGTTAGGTGCCCACTAACTTCTATATATGGATCCCAGGTGATCAACATTGATATCATTTGTAAATCCCACGTTCAAAATCATTAAAATGATAACGGAAGAAAGAATGCTGACTCCTCGCCTGTTTCTTGTTTACATGATCATCGTCTCTTTGGCTACAGTCTCACCGGCTTCGGCGTTCATGTCATGGTTCAGGAAACGTCCCGTGCAGAATGTGACAGTGATCAACGAAATAGAGAGCAGAGCAACCATGATAACTAATTGCAGGACAATATTCTTTGACTATAAGATAAAAGATATCCCTTATGGGGAATCTTTTTCCTTTTCTTTTGTTCCTGATGTGTGGGGAACAACAGCATATTGGTGCAAATTTACTTGGAATGATACAATGTCAAGAAAAGAAGTTTCAGCCGTCCTCTTGGTTTTTGATGCATTGAAAGGTGATGAAAAAAATTGTGCTCCAGAATGTCGATGGAGGATCTCATCAACCGGCTATAGATTCTGGGATGGATTCCTAAGTTGGGGAACCTTCTCTGTCAGAAGGTTGAAGTAAACATGATCTAATATCAAGGCATGCATGATGATGATGAGTATACATCCATACATATATATATAGAGAGAGAGAAATTTATTCCTTTTTTTTGGCATGAATCATGAATGTAAGGATATATGGATCAGTTTCGTGATAGATAGTTCATTTCAGGACAAGTTGTGGTGTGCAATAATTGGAAGATTGGCTGTGCCCACTTCTTTGTAAGCTCTAGCATGTTTTCAAATTCCTCAGATGTCTAGCAAGATTTCACTCATATTGGATCTTCTTAACATTGGCAACTTAATTATTTCACATGCAAATGTATTTGTATTGTTTGAAGAATCGACTGGGTGCATGGACGGTCAGGAAATAGAAAGGTAGACAGATCACCATGGCTTTGTCTAGACATCAGATAACCAGTCATGGCTGCCTAAACTGTAGACGATTAGTAATGGCAGTCCCCCATCCAGTATCAGTAAGCATGGTGGGAAAGAAAATGTGGGATCCGAAGGAATGTTTTCAATCCTAACAGGTTATTTCATGAAGCAGTTTATAATACCAGATGTGCAATCATGATTAGCACCAAGAAATTGCAATTAAAAAATGACGCTGTTCTAGTTTGGATTCATCAAGCTGATTTGGACTGTAAAAGATGTCGTCAAGAGACACGAGACCAGCGCTCTTGTGAAACCTCGCATGTTGCATTAATTAGAAGCAGATGAATGCGATTACAAGTAGGGGAAAGCAATATCCAACACCAGCAACATACCAGCACATTGTAAGAACCTCTGGTGGATAATGCTGTTTTTAACATTTGCCTTTGCATCATTACAACAGCTGCATTTCCAGATAGCCAAAACATCATCACAGACTCCCATAGCAAAGATAGTTCTCCACACCACCATCCTTTAGTCTCTCACTCCATCTCAAGGAAACAAAAATCCTTTGGTGTTCTCTCGCTCCATCTCAATATGGAAACAAAGATGGTAAAAAAGGTTTTTGAAAGATGTTTGATTTTATTTTATTTGATTTTATTTATTTTATGTTCAACATATCATGTATCATTAATTCCTCTTCAAGGTATTCTTCTAAATTAATCATATCATATATAATTCCTCTTCAAGCTTTTCTCGGAATTCTGAAGCATCCCAACTCCCCTGTCCTATGACAACAACTTCACATCTTTTATCAAACTCAAGCAAGTAAAATTGAGTCCATGTAACAACAGAAACAGCAAATCCGAGGCCTTTCAGGTTCCTTCCTCTGCTACTTGCAAGGGTCAATAACATTAGGAGTCTCAACTCCACTTGGTGTGCTTGAAAGGCTATCAACAGATTGAACATCATCCTCCAACTCCTCTTCATCAAGATGTTCTTCCTCTTCTTCCTCCTCCTCCAAATCACTCCATGTTCCATCACGGAGGTATCTAGTAGCAGGACTATCATTGTGGATGCTGCCAGCTGATGAGATGTGATCAGCTTTAATACTGTCCCTGAAGATGAGCGAGCAGTAAGCATCATTCACACCATAAGGTCCTGGCGGAGACATTGTCATGCTCTTGAAATATGGTGGCTCATGTATGTATGTTGATTTGGAATCCCAAGCATATAGAGTGCCTGAAGTGCAGATAATTGATTCCACATGGGATTTCCCTTGGTGATTGCCTGATTTGTACCCTTGAACGTATCAGGCAGCACACTTGAATGAACAACATGAGCAACTTCATCATTGGACGGCCAAATATTCCTGAAAAATTATCTTCTTTCCATCTTCGGTTTTGGGTCCAGCACTTTGCAATTGTTGTCCTTCCAATATAGGAAGCCCAGCTCGAAATAAACCAGATGCGCTGCCTCCACCTAGCAAGCCATAAAGTCCAAGGAATAAAGATGTCCCAAGACCAGCACCCCCATGTCATCTTATTGGAACCAACACCCCGTGTAACCCTAAATGTCGTATCTGGGTTTCCAGTGTTAGCAGCAGCAACGGGAGCAGGAGTTGATGAGGCAGGGCAAAACCACGAGCCATAAGAATGGTGTGATCAGCTTGCAAACCATGCTATGAAGGGTCTGATCCGTATCTACCATCATTACCACTTCCCTTTATTCCTCTTCTTCCACACCTTCCTTTCCCTAACAATTCATGTTTCCGCCACACCACCAGCTATGCTCCATCTAAGCGCTAAGATTCCAGACAAGGTGTCACACCTCGTCTGAAGGTGTGTTATGTTAATATTTTGTGATTGTTTTTTATGTTTCCTTTTAGATCTTTATTCTATTTTCTTCTCATCACCTGCCCATAAGAAGAGAAAAGTCCAATAAATTTGTTAAACCCTTGACATTCTTACTTCAAATAACTCTAGTATATAAAATGATTGCATTAGTTCTCATTATTTTAAATATTTGTAG